CTCCTTAGAAACTGAACTCCTTAGGAACTGAACTCCTTCGGAACCGAACTTCTTGGGAACTGAACTCCTTGGGAACTGGACTCCTTGGGAACTGAACTCCTTGGGAACTGAGCTCCTTGAGAACTGAACTCTTTGGGAACTGAACTCCTTGACAACTGAACTTCTTGGAAACTGAACTTTTTGGACACAGAACTCCTTAGAAACTGAACTCCTTAGGAGCTGAACTCCTTCGGAACCGAACTTCTTGGGAACTGAACTCCTTGGGAACTGGACTCCTTGGGAACTGAACTCCTTGGGAACTGAACTCCTTGGGAACTGAACTCCTTGGGAACTGAACTCCTTGGGAACTGAACTTCTTGGGAACTGAACTCCTTGGAAACTGAACTCCTTGGGAACTGAACTCCTTGGCAACTGAATGCTTTGGACACAGAACTCCTTAGAAACTGAACTCCTTAGGAACTGAACTCCTTCGGAACCGAACTTCTTGGGAACTGAACTCCTTGGGAACTGAAGTCCTTTGGAACCAAAGTTCTTGGGAACTGAACTTTTTGGACACCGAACTCCTTAGGAACCGAACTACTTGGGAACTGGACTCCTTGGGAACTGAACTCCTTCGGATCCGAACTTCTTGGGAGCTGAACTTCTCGGGAACCGAACTCCTTAGGAACTGAACTCCTTAGGAACCGAACTCCTTGGGAACTGAACTCCTTGGGAACTGGACTCCTTGGGAACTGAACTCCTTCAGAACCGAACTTCTTGGGAGCTCAATTTCTCGGGAACCGAGCTCCTTGGGAACTGAACTTCTTAGGAACTGAACTTTTTGGGAAATGAACTCCAGCTAAAACTGAAACTCACCAATCATTCTTCAGTCTCTTACCAATTGTGATGAAGGTCTTTGTGTCTCCTTCATCCTTCCTCACACTGTGGACAGACAGGGTCACTGCAGGTCCAGGTGGAGGAACAGGGAGGAATCTGGGTTCAGGAGCTGTTGGGGAGGTTCCAGGTGGTGTTGTTTTGATGATGGAGGACACCATTGTTGTTGTTTGGGGTACTGGTGCTGTTGTGCGGGGTATTGATGGTGTTGTCTGAGGTATTGGTGATGTTGTAGAGGGTATGGGGTTTATTGTGGGGGGTAGTGGTGTTGTAGGGGCTATTTGAGGTGTTGTTTGGGTTATTGGTGATGTTGTAGAGCTGAAAGGTTTTGTTCTGGAGGGTACTGATGGTGTTATAAGAGATATTGGGGGTGTTGTTTGAGGTATTGGGGGTGGTGTAGAGGGTATAGGGTTTAATTTGGGGGGTACAGATGGTGTAGAGAGTATAGGGTTTAATTTGGATGGTGTAGAGGGTATAGGGTTTAATTTGGGGGGTACAAATGGTGTAGAGGGTACAGGGGTTATTTTGGGGGGTACAGATGGTGTAGAGGGTATAGGGGTTGTTTTGGGGGGTACAGATGGTGTAGAGTGTATAGGGGCTAGGGCTATTTTGGGGGGTACAGATGGTGTAGAGGGTATAGGGGCTATTTTGGGGGGTACAGATGGTGTAGAGGGTATAGGGGCTATTTTGGGGGGTATTTGAGGTGTTGTTGAAGGAACAGATGATACTGTTCTTGGGGGTTCAGGTGCAGGTTCAAAGGGTGTGGGGCTCAGCTGGCGTCTGTCCGGCTGGATGAACGTGTCCCAGGTGACGGCCTCAGGACCCCCCAGCTGTCTGGTTCTGATCAGGCAGCTCTGCAGGAAGCTGACGGGGTCGTCAGGATGATGGTACAAGACACCTGTTAACAGACTCTGACACAGAGAACACATGAAAGAGTCCCGGAGTCACTAACGTCCTCTGATCATCTGAATAAATCTGAACTAAAGTAAAACTAAAGGTTTTAATTGTATTTAATTTGATTTTTATTTCCAGTCTTTATTTCCTTTATTTTAAACCTCTGGACTCATTTTAAGCTGTTTCATCATAAAATCTCAGGATTCATGTTTTATTGGTTGATTTTTAACTTGTTTCTGTCAGTGATGTAAAACGCAGTTTGACTCATGTTTAATATTAACATCCTGTCTGTAGTGGATTCTCGGTCCAGCTGAGGACCTGACAGCATCAGATCTGTCACTCTGTCCACTCGTATTATGTGAAGTGTTGTTACCGTGGCAACGAACTGAGCATCATGTCTGGATGTTAAAACAAACCTCACGCTGTATGAGTCTGTCTGAACCTGCATTGGTTTCAGCCCTCACAGCAGAGCAAAATTTATCACATCTACCAGGAACATGAGAACAGACTGAAGGTTCTCCGACACAGAATGTTACTGACTCTGATATTTACAGTTCAATGAGACAGAAGGAGCCGCAGAGTGTAACAGATCAGAGTTGACTGACAGGACATGTATCAGACAGATCAATAATCAATAATCAGATGTAACTCAGGATCATAACCAGCTGGTTCCTCTGATCAGCGGAGACTCAACACAAACTGTAAAGATTCAGTCAGAACCGTCTCACCTCCAACAGCTGAGGAAGATGATGCTGACACAGGTATTCCTTCATCTCTGAGCTGCTCATAGTCATCACCTTCTTCTTCTTCTTCTTCTCCCTCTTCTTCTTCTTCTCTGGTTATTCTCACTTGTTCCTGTCTATCTATCTATCTATCTATCTATCTATCTATCTATCTGTCTATCTGTCTATCTATCTGTCCGTCCGTCTGTCTGTGCAGTGTGTTCAGAGTGATGATGTCAGAATGATTGACAGCAGCAGCATCAGGTGGATGGAGTCATTGTTCCTGTTGTCTTTATGCTAATGAGGCCAATGAGCTGCTGAGACACATCACACAGAGACCTGATTGGATGACACAGTGTGACATCATCACAGTGACACCTGCTGGCAGAGCAGAGGAGGTGAAGGTCCAGGTGAAGGTGGTCAGGTATGTCGGGGTCTCGTTTAGAAGTGATGGTAGAACGGAGCGTTGATGGATCAACAGTTTGAGGTGACCTCAGTAGTGCTGCAGGTGTTATACTGGTCAGATGTGATGAAGAGAAAGCTGAGCTGGGACGCAAAGCTCAAGATGTAGCGGTCCGTCTGCACGGTCCAGCAACCACAGTCTTTCACTCAGGAGGCCAGTGTTCACTTCCTGTAAGACTGTAAAGCCAAATTCTGTTCTTTATTCCTAAACCCAACCACATGCTTTTGTTCAAGGAAGACGATGTCAAGTGGCGGTGTTGTACCCACATAGTGCTTTTATTTTGAAAGAGACTGTATGCAAACTGTACATTTCCTGTGAAAACAGAAATGTATTTTGAAAACAGGCAATGCATGTAACAGGCTGAAGTTGACAAGGCATCCCAGAACGTCAACAACCAACACACCCAGGGTACCTTGGACGTCATATGTGGACTCTTTCATATTTACTGTATATAGTTACACTCTTTTATATTTACTGTATATAGTTACACTCTTTTATATTTACTGTATATAGTTACACTCTTTCGTATTTACTGTATATAGTTACACTCTTATATTTACTGTATAGACTCACACTGACATCAGTTTCTATTAAACACTGTTAAACATTTGAACACCGTCACTCTGTCACACATCAACACTGTTCCAGTTTTTATTTTAATGCAGACACAGCTCTCTGTCAGTGTGTGTGGCATCATTATCTGGGTTCAACTGAATGGATCTCAACAATGCAGGAATGTGTGTGTGTGTGTGTGTGTGTGTGTGTGTGTTTGGACAGGGGGGGAAGGGACATGATTTGGAAGCCTCTCTGTGGTTGCCATAGAGACCGTGATGTAAGCCCAGAGGGGGAGTTTGTCCTCTCTCTTTCTCCTCTATTGTGTCAATGTGTGTGTGTGTGTTTGTCTAGTGTGTATTTAGTGTGTTATTGTGTAGTTAGTGTGTATTTATTGTGTGTTCGGTGTGTATAGTGTGTATTTAGTGTGTGTTGTGTGCGGAGCGGCAGTAGATGGGAGATTTTCAGTCGGAGCAGAAACGAGCTGAAGAGAAGAAGTGAAAGAAGAGAAAAGAAAAAGAGTCTGACAGGAAACAGAAGAGAAGAAGAAGAAGAAGAGAAAGAGGTTGTGACGTTGAGGTGCAGTAAGTTTGAACCTTAAACTTTATTTAAACTGAAGATGATTCTGACTGTTTGTCTCATCAGCTTTTTAACGTCTGAACGACGTTTTTACTTTTGTGTTTGAAATAAAACTTTCAAACTGAAGATGAACTAAAACAAACATCACAATCAGTTGGTGTCGGAGCTGTGGGGTTCCTCCGTCTATCTGTCTCGGTGTAGTTCCCTGTGATGACCACCGGGTGGTGCTGACAGGTCATATGTTACTGAATGAACGCAATGACTCTGACACTGAATGTGTGTGTGTGTGTGTGTGTGTGTGTGTGTGTCCTTTGTGTTGTAGATGTGATCACACTGATTGTGTGTTGTTGACCTACTTCTGCTGCAGCTCAGTGAGAACAGATCAGAACCTGATGCTCAGCTTTGTATCTCCACAGGGTTCACTCACACTTTGAGCAGAAACATAACATTTTAAAGTTTCCCTCATCACTTACTGAACACTTTGTGAATAACTTCAGCATCAGACACAAAAAGACACCTCTCACAACGGTATGACACCCCCGCTAGGCGTTGCATCATACCACTGTGAGAGGTGTGTCAGTTTGAAACACTGCTGTCAACAGTGTCATAAGAATCAGAATCATCAAAACTTTATTGATCTGAGGACAAACTGAGATTGTTTTTTGAGTCTCTGATATGAAGAAAAGAAAATTTTAAGAAGCAAGAATACAAGGATGAAAGAGAAGTCTATAAAGTCATAAAATTGAAATCAAAATGAGCATCATGCTACAATGTTTACAATTTTTCTTGATTATTTACACACATTTTCTGAAAGCATGCCTCATACTCTCAGAACTCTACACACAAATCAAAAAACACACACACACAATGGGCAAAACCCCTCAATTCTCCTGCAAAATTAAACTGTACATTCAAAACAATGTTATTTCTTCTCAAAATGTTATTTTGTTTTCAAATGACACACACAAACCATCATATGAACAGACATTTATAAGAACCAGTGGAACACTGATGTGCTCAATGTAAAACACTATGATGAATGGAAAACACTTCTCCATTCATCATAATGACTTAGGCCTTTTTTTTGTTCAGTGTTACACTTACTACAGACAGTACATACATAAGTGTGTTGTAAAATATTTTAGAATATTGTTTTTATACTCAGAACACACAAATACACGGTAACAAATATATTTTATTTTTCCCACAAAAACAATGTACACAGTGTACATCCCAACCAAAACAAAGTTGCACATACAGTAGTCTACATACAAAACAACAGAAGAATTTACTGTATACAGTTACAGTAAAAAAACAAAACAAAACTATGCTGCCACATGGTCAACTAAAGTGGCTCGGATCTCATCAGAGATTACGGTCCTTGGCCTTCCTCGTCCTCGTCCTCCCCGTCCTCCTCCTCTTACTCTCACTCCTCTGGCTCTGGCTCTGCCTCTGTTTCCAATGTTGGCATCCATTGCTCCAAAACAGAAAAGCTCACCTGTTGCCCGTTTATGCTAAAGCTCTGATTGCTAATTGTAAAACTGTGTGACAGGTGTTTGCCCATGTGATGAGTCAGTGTGCATAGTAGGGCCATTAACTTTAGAATTTTGAATGACAGTGTGTTCCTTGTGAAAACAAGAGCTTTTCTTCATGAAAACTGTGCCAAATGCAGAGAATTGTGTGTAGTGTTTTGAAAAAAATGTGTTTTAGAACTGCAATTTGAGTGTAAAGCAGGAATTGTGCTTGTAGTTTAGCAGAATTGGTTCAGGGGGTTGGTGCATGAGTTACATGTTGTGGTCATTGTGTCTCAAGTACCAGTATTTGTGTGTAAACAATTGAGAAAAACTGTAAACACTGAATAAACTAATATTACATTCAGAAATCCAAAATATGTTTGATGTTATAATCTGCACTGCAGTTTTCACATCAGTAGAATAAACAAGAAGCTGTTCACTTCCTGTGTGAGTGTGGAAACAAACCATGATGATTTTATTGTGAAAATCAAACTGTGTTTGTTGGACAAACATAAATAAGAGGTTTTTATTTTGAAAAACACTATGGATCTGAAGAGTAGAAACTGTCCATTTCCTGTAAAAACATAAGTTTATTTTGAAAAGACACTAAGAATGTAATGAGCATAAACACCTCAACATCCAGCCTGGTCTCACTACTAAGTCGTCAGAATCCATGGTTTGGTCAGTGGCACGTAGCGTCAGACACCAACAAAGACATCCGTTTACATCAGCATGACACACAGCCGGTCACTGCGTCACATAGCAGGACAATAACAGAAGTTAAGGTGGCAGAAGTGTGAGTAGGGTGGGTGGGGTGGAGGATGGGTCCAACAACCATCAACCTGGATTAGAGTTGCCACCCGTCCCGTTTTTCCCAGAATTGTTCTCTTTTTTCATCAGCTGTCCCGGGAAAAAAAAAATCTCTCCCGGGAGAGGAGGCAGGCCCTGAACGACACATAGTGCGTCCAAATTCACACCTGTTCTTGTCTATGGTTTTTCTCCGCGACCGTGCGTCATAACGAGAAGCATATCGCGTGACACAGCGGAATCGTAGCTTTCCGAATGTTTTCACAGTGAAAAAAATGATAAAGTTACACTAAAATCATGAATAAGTTTAACAAAGCTTTCATACAGCTTTGCACACACATTACTGTTGGATGGATTACTCGAGAACGCAGGCTCGCACAGAAATGCCACACATATCACATGAAAGCGCAGGAGCAGAGCTTTCCACTGATACCACACACATCATTGTGCTGTCATCCCATCACGCTATAAATACAGATTAATTGTCTACAAAATAAAAACCTGACGAATTTCTTTACAATCCATTATACAGATCTTGTTATCAGTCACTTCATATAGTGAGGAATATCGTATCTTACCACGTCTTAGGCTTGTGTGTGTTTCTCCCTGTCTATCCACATTTGTAGTCCGGCTTTCAAGATGCAAATATCTCCATATTGTCCAGTTGACACTCCATCAAACTTTGTATGACAAGA